ACGTCATTGTGCTGCTAAACACATAATGCTGAGGGGAGAGGAGTACCGCTCCAAGATGGCCGCCCTAAATCTCGTCAGCGACAATAGGCAAGAGCGGTCCATGAGGGTCTATCCTTATATTACGTCTATGGTTACGAGATAACATCGTAACGTCGTTTCGTTAGCTAGTGACGTCCTGTGAATGCCACCAGTGGCCGCCATGACAGGTTGCTTTGAGCAGCTTTCAGCTGCTGGCTTGTGGTTCTGCTCATCAGAAAGGAGCGGACCATTCAGGGTAGGAACAAACTAAAAAATGATGGCAGACAAATATGAATTCAGATGCATTAAAGCAAAGCAAACACGAGGGAGGCAGAGGAGGAGAGGAAGGAAGGAAAATGGAAATGAGAGCAAACCAATCTATATTGTCAGTGATGCTGCTGGATGGTTAGCAATTTCCTCTCCAATAAATCAAACACTCGACTCTGCTCCATCTTTCTCTATCTTCTTCTGACACACACACACACATTCTTTCTCTCTCTCTGCAGATAAGGACCGACTGTAAATCTGGACTGAAGGTCCATTTTGGTTTTCCATTCAATATTTGATCCATCCAAGATGGAGCTTTTCTGCATCTCCTCCATCCAGCAGCTCTTCCTCCTCTCATTATCATTATGTTTTTATTATTTTACATGTTTTTATCATGTTGTTGAAACTGACGTTAAATCCAGAACCTGACATCAGGTTCACTCATACGAATCTCAGCTGCTGGTGGAAAACCTGAATGTTTTGTTCGAGTCGTAAAGCAGCGCTGAGCCCAGGATTTTTAAAATTTGTTTTATTTTAATATCCTGATGGCTTTCTGCTCCCTGGTGGCTGATAACTTTCATTTTATTTGTTAAATAACAAGGAACAATATGAAAGCTTAATTATGGTGTTTTTGGTTTTATTGCTTAAACATTCTCATTAGTCTATTTGACGATCAGCAGAAAAAAAATAATCTGGGTTTTACGGCCAGCAGGATCAACGCTGTTTGAATGATCAGGTTCTGGAAGATATTTGTTTTCTATTGATCATTATTTATTATTTCACATTTTCAATCATTGTTTCTATGCGTGGTTGTGTCGGATGAACTGAGTAGTTAAACGCTTCTAAATGTTTTGATCATAGTTTTATTATGACAGGTTGTGGGTGGAGTCTTGTTGCCATGGCGCCAGGCGGTGTATGAACATTGGTTCCTGAAAACGTTTCATAAAGAAACTGTTTAGATTTGTAGCTGCAGCTCACAGTTATTGATTTGGATGAATTCATCTTTGGTTTAACCAAGAAGCATACGATGTATTTGTGAATAAAAATTACAGATATACTTGCAGGTAGATGTAGAATTTGGATATTTATCCAAATTCTACATTTTTCCAGACTCTGTATTTAGAAATTAAGTAAACCGAAGTGGATGATTGTTGGATCTTCCACACTGACAATGTTTTTCAGATTATTTTCCACCAAATCCATGTTTGTTAAGAGAAACCTGGAGAACTTTGGTTCCTCTGATTGGTCAGTCACTCATAAACCCTCTGATTTGATTGGCTGTTCGTCTTATCAATTAAAGAAAAGGCCAAAGGGAAACGTCTCCTCATTTCATCCTGAAACTAATTATTTTATTTTCCTTTGATTTTATGTGACAGTGAGCTGAAAGGACACTGATTCAAAGGTTTTAACATTTCTAGTCATAAGAATCTCAAAAGTGTGGTGTACTCATCTCCCTTTAACCTGCTTTAAACGCCTCATCCTAATGAAGCTGTTGATCTGAGTCATAAAACAAAGTGAGTCTCTCATGAGTGAAAATAAAAACAGTTCAGATGAGAAGCGTGTTTGGAAATAAACATACATTTTCTTGAGGTTGGGCAGCTTCCTGAACATCCCAGCAGCTTCCAGGACAGAGATTTCATTGTCGTTTAGCCGCCTGCAGAGAACAGGGCAGAGATGGAAGTTGATTAATTTATTTTCTGTTTCACATGCAGCGAGGAAACACGGAGCTCTGAACTATGATGCAGCGGAAAACAAAGAACGATGAAGAAATAAAAGAGAGGAGGAGGAAGAGCGATGAATCTTTTCTATGTAGTCATCAATAGCCGCATCGCCCTGAGCCCAGAGAAAACAGCTGGGCAGATAGCAAGCCAGACATCTGCTTTATTGAGGTCATTTGTACTAAAAAGGTGCTGCTAAGAGGATGTGTGTGTGTGTGTGTGTGTGTGTGTGTGTGTGTGTGTGTGTGTGTGAACTGCAGGATGAAAGTGAAAGCTCAGCTCCAGGGAACTCTTTCTAATGAGATGCGTGGCATTAAAACACGGAGCGACCTGGATGAAGTAAAACCAGAATGATTTATAAAAACCCTGAAGAGTTTTGGTGGAAATGAGGCGCCGTTTCCTGCTGCAGTTCATTGAAACGCTTCACATTTTCTGATTAGTTCACCATCCGACCTGCAGCCGAAGAGAAGCGGATCATCTTCCTCTTCAGGGAGCAGAAACAAATCAGCAGCTCGGATTCCCTGACAAGGCCGGGAGGACACGCCTCTTCCTGTTTGGACGACACACCTCTTCCTGTCCATTGTTCTATAAAGTCCAGTTGTGAGGTGTAAACGCTAATTGACCTCTGACCTCTGGTCCTCCAAACCTCGGTCTGGGTTTGGTTGAAGTGAACTCTGGTTCAGCTTGAATGTGAACGCCAAGCGGACCAGAGACCACTCCAAAAGCAGGAAGTAGCATTCTGGGTAAATACAACCAAAGCTAACGTGCTAGCCTAGCGCTAGCAGCAGAAATGGCTCCTGGTCTTTAGCCAAAGACTAAAGAGAAATCCTCCAACCGCTAAAATCTGACGCCTCCATCTTGTTTCCATCTGGTGAAGAAGGAAGTTGCTCTCAGTGTCTTCAGAGGTTTTTGTGTCGTTTCCTTCAGTGGTTCTTGGTGCAGCGCCCCCACAGGCCAGGAGGGGAACAGGTTGGTTTGACTCAGAACCACAGCAGCTGGAGGTGGAGCAGATGTTCTGGTTCCAGTAGAACCGGGTCGACCGGACCATCAGATGGTAAGCAGCATAAAATGTCACAAGAAAGAAAACAAAAAAAGAAAAGCCAAGTTAGGCAGCATGGTGCCATACTTCACAGTTGGGATGCTTCCCCTGGCTTATGGGTGTAGCGACGGTCATTTTGTCCACCAGACCTCAAGAAGCGTCTCCAGAAACGTCTACAAATTGTTTTTATGTTCTTTTAGGAAAGATCTATTCCTCCAGACGTAGCGGCATTATTAACGTGAATTATCAGTTTCTGTCAGTAGAAGAATATTCTACTGATCTGACATCATCATGTCGGAACTGATGTCTGACAATACTCGGTCTGATGGTGTCAGACTGAGTATTCTAGACTGACATCATGATGCAAAGCGATGCTAACATGCATGCTTTCGATTGCAGACATTTTCTGTTTCTTACAGGTCGGTGGTGTGTTCAGGGATGTGCGGAGGAATCCGGGTCAGTTTGAGGTTGGAACAGTCCACCACGGTGCCTTCACAGCGACATTTCTCCGGACACACCAGATCCTGGAAACACTCCCCACTCAGCCGACTGCGGTAATCCTCCTGACCTGCAGGGGGCGAGCCACAGTGGAGGACACAGAAACAGAGAGAAGGAAGAGGGGCAGGAGATTAAAACCAGCAAGAAGACAGAAAAAAATAAAAACACCAAACTGAGGAGAGAGCTGTGGATTCAAAATGTTGATACAAAACATTCAGAAACTTTAAAAGATAATTCATCCAGTGGACACACGACCTTTAACCCCAGAGGAATTCACCTCTGTTATTAAACAAGTCTTATTCAATGAGGAACATGTACGAGAGTAGCACGACCAGCGCTAACAGGAAGTGGTGCTGTGCTAAGAGGAAGTGAAGGAGCAGAGAACAGGAAGCAGGAGTCAAACTGAAGGAAAGTGCAAAAAATATATTTTAACATTTTTAAGGGGGAAAAACACATTAAAATGAAAATCTCCACCTGCAACCAGCTCTGTGAAGTTTTACCGTCAGTCAGCGCTGAAATTTGGAATATCTGACGTCAGATTATGATTGTGCAACAAAGATAAAGCAGAACGTTCTCACGGCGTCAGAGGGGTCAGAGCCAAACCCCTACAGGCTCCGAGGTGTGTGATTGGCCGGGAGAGGCATGAGGGCGTGTGCCGCGCGGTCCCTGGCGCTTGACGGAACCATGTGATGTCACAGTAGGCGGGGCCACATGGTTAGATCAAGCACAAGAGACAGCTGCAGAACCAATCAGAATGAAGGTCCACACAGGAGGAAGGCGGGGCGACAGAGAGCTGCACCAGTCAATCAGGGCCAGAGGGGGCAGAGAGAGGTCAGGGGTCAAGAGGAGGAGGCAGCGGGGGGAGCACAGGAAGGAGAAGCGACAGACAGGAAGAGCTGAAGCAGAGGCTGCCGCCTCCAACAGGGCGTGGCAGGGGGCGGAGCTACAGATGGCGCTTAGCGAGAACCGAGGCAGTCGAGAATTTAAAACCTGGGAACAACAACAGGAACGTGACGGGGAACAACCCTCTGACAAGACATGAGTCGGAAACAGATCTGAAACAGCGCCGCCCTGCTGGCAGGAAAACATGCAGCAGCTCTGTAAGAGGCTGGAGGCGGAGGAAACGACAGAAATCATTTCATGTCAGAAAGTCTTCACGCCCCCTCAGACTTCCTGCCAATGCAACACATGGATCTCACAATGTAATAGAAAAACAATAAAGAAGCAAAGCAGGTTATTTGTGATAAAATAATTTTTTTCCCATCTGTCATCTCCAGCTCAAGCAGACTGGATGGAGAACATCAGCTTTTCATAGATTCTCATTTAAATTCAGGTCTGGACTTTGACTAGGCCATTCTATCACCTGAATCTGCTTTGATCTAATCCAGACGTCTGTAGCCTTTACTCTACAGAGTCCAGCTAAGTAAATACAACCTTTAGAATAAAGAGATAATTTTTGAAATAATGTATTTTTTTTAATCCTAATTTCTTTGCTATTTTTTTAGTTTTTTAAATAAAGAAAAACATACAACTTTCACAAAAGAGAGAGAGGTGGATAAATTTCTTTCTATCAGATGTTGATATTGATGAAAAAATTATGTAAAAATGTCAAGAAAAATAGATGTTAAAAAGTATTACTGGTACTTTTACTCTTTCATTGGTGAAAATTAAATGTAATTATTTCTTGAAATACATCAAAGTCTAGTTATTAAAAATTGTTTGTTTCTTCTTCTTCAGAGTCTCAGGTTTTCTGCAGCCTTCAACAGGTTTTCTGGATTCTGGATGTTTATCAAAGTCTGAAAAACATTCCCATTTGATCATATGACTGTGTTTAACCATATTTTCAAATGTATCGATATTTATAGATGCTTTCTTTGAATAAACAGAAGAGAAAATAGTAAAACTAAAAATCAGATAAGAATAATTTTCTAATTCTTTTTAAACATCATTATCATAACAACGAGGAGCTAAGCTTCTTATCATGATAAGAAGTGGTAAACAATAAATGATAAACGATAAATGTCTGGTCCTAGATGAAACCCAAATGAAACATGTCTGTGTCTGGAAGGATTCAGAGGGAGGATGACCCCTGACCCTTGAGCAGAGCGCGACGCTCACCTGTGCACCTGAACTTCTTGCCTTTGACCTGGCTGATGCGTTTGTTGGCCAGGCGGCGCGGGTGGCTGCAGCGTGCGCCGCTGGTCTCGATGGGATTATCGAACAGGAAGTCGGCCAACCACTTCAGGTGACAGTCACACGTGAAGGGATTCTGGGCCAGGTGGCTGGAGACACACAGGATGGTAACAACAATAACAATAATAATAATAATAATAATAATAATAATACTGCTGGTTGCATGAACAATATTGCTGTAAATATATTCCAAATATGGATTCAAAAATAAACCTTAAACCCTCTTGTGGGATGTTTTTCACATTTCCCATCATTTACTTAATTTCAGAATGACACCATTGTTCAAGATGGCTGCTGTTTTGGAGCCCTTTTAGCCAATTATTGCCATAAAATGTTCCCCATTTTCATGACCTGAATAAACTTTATGTCATATCATATATTTTCCAGTTTGGTTGCAATGTTCATAAAATGTTAAAGTGATAAAATGAAGCAGAATCAGAAATTGAGGACTTTGCTGTTAGCGAATCTCAGATCAGTCATCAACTGGAAGAAGAAGAGACACAATCGTCTAAATCAGTGTTTCTCCATCCTGGTCCTCAGGCACCCTGTCGTGCATGTTTTAGGTGTTTCCCTTCTGCCACCTGAATCGTATCTCTGGGTGATTAACAGGCTTCTGCAGCACTTGATGGTCATGCAATCATTTGAATCAGCTGTTCTGGAATAAAGGCTCATCTAAAACATGCAGAGCAGGGGGGCTGAGGACCAGGGTGGAGAAACACTGGTCTAAATGGTTAGCATTAGCTTCTGCTAATGTTTTTATATGTTTAGTGTTAACTTCCACTAATGTTTTGTGTTTAGTGGTAGCTTTAGCATAACTAAGATTCTTGTCTGGCAAATTGGCTATTAGTGAAGCTAATGTTGTGGTTAGCTGAGGCCACCACTGGTAAAAACTGCAGCCAGTTTTAGTGCAAACATTTATTCTCCACTACTGCCACGGCAGCCATTTTGTAAAATGTCCACCAGATCAACAAAATATGTATGATTTCTATGGTTCAAAATATGTAGGCTATGACTTGACACCAAACACATTCAACTAATTGACAGTTTCAGTGCAAGAATTACCATTTCATGGCAACCATGGTGGCCATCTTGAAAAATCTAAATATTATCAGTAAGTACGATTTCTAAAGGTCCAATAAAGTATGATTCGACACCAAAAGTATTTATCTATGATAAATATTGGGACCTTTTGTTCAAAAATACATTATTTTGACGACCATGGCGGCCATCTTGAACTTACAGAGTCTTGATGGAGCGCAGCGGAGTGAAGAGGCCTTTACTGATGCTCTGCAGCTTGTTGTCATACAGAGACAGGAGGTTCAGGTTCTGCAGGTCCTGGAAGGCGTTCACTCTCAGACAGTTGATCTTGTTGGCATTCAGTAGTCTGAAACACAGTCAAGAAAACAAGCAGAACATTATGACCACTGAAGGTCTGCTGTGGAGTCCAATATGGTGACAGCAGGTCCAGGAAACTGTGAGGAGAGGATCAGTTTGTTTTTAAAAAGTTGGATGTACTAAATGATGCAGCGTAGAAACATGAGCCTTGCATCTTTTTCTCTTCTCTTTATGTAGCATCATATTCTCTTGTATTTATTTAGCTAGATAGCTTAACATGCTAAATATGCTTGCAACTATGACATTTAAGAATGAATGATTAACATGGTGAAAACATGACTTTTGAAAATAAATCACCATCTTTTTCTGCTCATCTTTTAAATAACCCAAATTACTGCTGTTCATTTTTAACTGAGTAATTTAAAAAACAAAGTCATTGTTCGACTCAATCTCTGTTTTCTTACATCCTGACTTTTCATTTGCATTTCCACCTTGCATCGATCTCCTTCTCTGTTCTGGTGTCGGGAAGCTAAAATGATTAAAATATTTCAGTTTTCTGAAGACTCACAGTAGCTGCAGGGAAGAAAGTCCATCAAATATTCCTTTAGGTAGCTCAGTGATCTTGTTGCCGTACAGAACCCTGTGAGGGACAAACGAAGACACAAACTCAGCACCATGTGAAACTCCTTTATTCAGTGACTTCCTGACTACTTTTCTCTTGTCCTGCGTGTTAGGATGCATGACGCACTTACAGTGAAGTAAGCGACCGCAGTCCGCTGAAGGCGTCCGCCGCCACGTCGGAGATCTGGTTCTTACTCAGGTCTCTGTGGGCAGAATGAGAGTACGGACAAAATCGCTAACGGGATTCAACTTGCCAGACAAATGATCAGAAACATGAAAAACAACGAATCAGGAGAAAAATCAGAGAGCAACGAAAGGAGAGAGAGTCTTGAAATCTGAAGAGACAGAGGTGAGAAAACAGGTAGGAAGAGGAAAATTAACAGATCCATATGGATTATTATTATTGTGTGTGTGTGTGTGTCTGTCTATGTGGTTTAACATGCCTTTTGATTTGAATACATACTTACATTACCGGGACCTAGGTGTAATACAAGGACAATCCCAATGTTCATATAATTCATGGAGTATATTTAAAGTTTTCAGTATCTAAACAAAACTTTGTCTTGTGTGTGTCAGTTTACTTACATTCTCTTCAGCTTCTTGTAGGCTGTAAACGCTCCTGGCGGGACGCTTTTGATCAGGTTCTGCTCCAAACGGCTTCAGGAAGAAAAACATCAGTCAGAGAATCCCTGGTCGACTTTAAAGGCTGAACTTTCATCACATAAAAATAGTAAAACAAAAACAGAAATTTGTTTCAGTATTATTGCAAGCAAGGAATATATTTCAAAAATTGACATTTGGAGAAAAAAAAGCATTTCGAAAATGAAAATTCAAAAAACTTCTCAATAAAATTTTTTTAAAGTTGAATGAACACCAATGCAGTTGTCTATTTCTTCCAATTTTATTTTTCTACCAGGATTTTTTCATGTATTTAAATTTTGTAGGTGTTTTTTCTTATTTTTTATTTTATTTTGTTAAACAAAGTTTTGCATTTGCAATCTTTTCAAGCTGGACTTAACGGATTGTGTTCCACACAGCAGGAACGCTCGCTCCTGCTCCACACTGACCAATAGAAATTAATCTGACTTGTTTTTCAGAGGAAGGATGAGGCCCCCGAAAAGAAAGGAACATAAACTGTAAAATGAGATTTGAAAAAATAAAATCTGAAAAGCAAAAATTTGAAAAAATAAAATCTGAAAAATAACAAACTCCATAAATGTAGGTTCAACTATTGCAAATACATCATAAGTTAATATCAAAATGTTTATTTTAGTTTTATTTATTGAGAAATAAAAGTTTTATTGAAATTAATCTTTTTCAAGTTTTTTTCATTCTTTGCTTGCAAAAATACTGAATCCAATCTTCCTTTTAGCACAACTTGAACACTGAAACAGTCTTTTCCAGTGTTCAATCAGATCGGTTTGAAGCAGAAATCAACCGAGAGAAGCAGCTTCCATTGCTGCTGTTAGCAGATGTAGCTGTGTGGCAGATTTACAGACGTACCAGAAACACATCAATACAAAGGTTCCCAGTTGGGATTTTTGTATGGAAAATAAATTTAGTTAGTTGCTTTACTTTTAGTTGATCAAACTGGGGATGACAGTATGCTGCAGGCTCACCTGGTCTCCATAGAAAACATTAGACTGTTTTTCCTACCATCACAAACATAAATTCTCCTGGGACTTTAACTAGACCAGGGAGCTTAGAACAGAGCTCTGAGTTGGTAAAGCAGCACAAATAAACAACAACGGCAACCGCTGCATTGGTTCTGTGCCATAATTATTATTAGAAAAGATTTTCTGCTTGATCAGTTTTAGTTGAAAGCAAACTAAAAGCCAAACTAAAAGTTCAACTCAGAGAGGTTTTCAACATTTAGTTGAAGATTTAGCTCCAGATGTAAATTTCTACATTTTACTTTCAATAAATCTCTGAATGTCATCAGAGCAGAACAGGCTTCACTGCCATCATGAACCAAAAAATCATCAGATTTACTCCAGAATATCAAGAGACAAGGATTAAAGGATGTGAAGGTGGAGGAAGAGGAAGAGAGGAGGAGGAGGAAAAGGAGGAGAGGATGGAGGGAAAAAAGGACAGCAAAGGAGAAATTAGAGGAGAGAAAGTGAAGGTGTGGTGAGGTCCCAAGGCCGGCCAGAGGGTCGGCTGTCAGGATGATGAATGGAAACTAATCCAGCCCACCTCTTCCTCCCTTTCTTCCTCTTCACATCCTCCTCCATCCCTCCTTTTCTCCATCCATCCATATTTGCCTCCTTTCTATCAGTAATGAAGATAAATCTGAAACTCTGATCCGATTAAAATGAAAACCAAAACATCTTCCTGGTTCTGGTTCTGACTGCATTCATCTGCAGTCAGTAAAGCTGATTTCTATCAAGACCTGGAGGAAACCAGAACACTTTGGTTCTGACAGAACCAATCCGATCTGAGGAGCCGACTCCTGGCTGAAGGAGAGGCTGAAACGTCTCTAAGGTTTACAGCAGAACAACCTCAGAACAGGTGAAACAAAAAATGGGTCACACCTTGATGAAAACAGAAGCTGATGGAAGCAAACAATGGCGGCAAATTCAGAGGATGAACACATAGATCATTAAAGAACTGCCGATACGTCAAACTGTTAAACTCTGCTTCTGTCTGTGGCAACATTCATCACAACCGCTCCAAACAGAGAGCATGGCCCTGTGAAATGCTGCAAAACACTGCAAACAATCCATACAGAGGGCGGGGCTCTGTGAAATGCCACAAAACGGAGCAAAATGTTGCAAACAGGAAATTGTAGCAAAACACCACAAAGCGCTGCAAAATGTCAAAAATGCAACAAAAGGCTACAAAAGGAAAAAGTTATTCTTTTAGCCTAGAATATATCTAAAATAATCACAAGTCAAACAATAATACAAAATCATTTCCAGGCATTTATAATTAGTACCAATAGAAAGAAGTTTGTTTTGCAAAGTAAGAGTATTTTATTTAATGAAATGTCTGCTAGGTGAGGAAAAATAAATTTATGCAGTTTATTATATATCAATGGTCACATTAGGAGTTGGAAAAAGAACTGTGGTAGAAATGTCCTGCAGAGTTTCTCCTTCAGTCACAGAGCAATCAAGCAGCTGCCCTCTGCACAAACAGGCCGGGGACGCCGATCGATACGGATATCAAACATGTCCCCTGGTGGAACGTGTGTGTGTGTGTGCGTGTGTATGTGGGTGTGTAACATCAGAACTTCAGGCTTTTAATGATGCGTTTGAGATATTTTTCCTCCATCGTGGTACTAGCTGTGGGCAACATGGACTTAAAAGTTTCATCATGATATTTTGTGTTAATATTGTGAAAACAATAAAAGTGACAATAATAACTATTTATTACTTTTATTTTAGAAAACTGTGTTGCTGTGACAATAGCTGGCAAATGTACACAAATCTTTGTCGATATTCCACTAATATCAAACAACAAAAACTTGGACATGAAAAAGTTTGTTTACGCAATAAATCATTAAAATTTACAAAATGCGCCATCACCACCAACTACTTCCTGTTGTTGTCTTCTTCGTGCTACACCAGTAGCAACATCCTGTTGTTGATCATGTGACTCATGATGTGAAAAAAAAGTGTTTCTGTTGCAGTTTTGTAAAATAAATTTTGACACACCCAAAATAACCACCTCATCCAAGCGCCAAAACTATCAAAAATATTTCAAAATCTTTCACATAACGTAACTCAGCTTGCTTTTTGGAAAAAAACAACAAAACAAAAATGTTAGCCACTGAAAAATTCAAGATGGCCACCACGGTCATCAAGGAAAATGTTTTTTTTGGACTAAACATGTCAATATTTATCACTGATAAATACTTTGGATGTCAAATCATTCATAACTGCACCCAGAGAAATCATATTTATTGAGAATATTTATGTTTTTCAAGATGGCCACCTTGGTCATCATGGAAAACAAATTTTTACTCTCAAATTGTTGTCAAATCATTGCTACATATTTTGAACCATAGCAATGATATATATTTTCTTAATCTTGTCTTTCTTTTTTCTGGTGGACATTTTACAAAATGGCCGCCATGGTTGTAATGGAAAATATATGTCTGAACTAAAATCAGTAGTAGTTATTAAGAGTGGTGGGCACAGCTAATCAAAAAGTCACCTTCACTCACCCCTAATTCATTAAACAAAAATCTTAGCTACACCAACGCTAAACTACTAAATATGTAAATAAGTTAGCAGAAGCTAATGCTAACCCAATAAACCAGAGAGAAAACCTGATCAGCTGCAGGGAAAGTGAAGTGAACCCAAACTATCTTACATTTCCACAATGCCCTCTGGGAGGTTGGCTGGGATCTCTGTCAGGCCTTTCCGTCGGCAGTCCACGATGTTGTTGTTGCAGCTGCAGCTGGGGGGGCAGACTGCGACCTGAGGAGCACACGCCCTCGGCTCCGTCTGTGCCGGACCTGCAATCAGCATTGGACAGCTAGTTTCTGCTTCTTTCAGAACAGTTATTTTGCACTCAAAGCCAGAAACAAAAAAACTCTTCTGCAGCCTGGAGCTGCGTTTCTACTTCCTGCTGTAGCTGAAGTTTTATCCATATTTCCTCATATTTCAGGATATTTCTTACTGCCGGATTCGTATCCTCAGAATGAACTTTAATCTCTGGTGGTGGCTGCTGCGTTGATTTTGAGGCATAAAAAACCTTTTGGGAAAACACGCAATCTCTTTGATATGAAAAAGAAAGAAACTGAATCTTAATGTTGCTTATTATTTTGCCAAAATATGCACATAAAATATGAGTGAATATTAGCAAGAAGAAAGCAGAAGTACAGGAAGCGGCTGAGATGGAAACAGAATAAAAGGAAGAGGCAATAAATGCTGAGGAGCTGTGAAGAATCCTGCATGACATGAAGAAGAAAAGACGAGGAGGAATGACGAGATTTTAAATCAATACTTAACGTTCATGCTTTTTATTCATGTTTCAATGATAAGCAGTCCTTCAATCACTAGGTGGCAGCAGAGCTCAAACTAATCAACAGCAACGAACTGACACAAGCACACCAGGATTCCGAAGGTGAAACGGAGAAGTTAGTGATGGTGAAATAAAAAATGGCGGAGTCTTTCTGGTTTAAAGTCGACGCATTGAGTGATGCAGGCACTAGCAGCTTGTGAGCCATCCGTTAACTGTCTGTTAGCCATCAGTTAGCTGTTTGTTAGCCACACTTGTGCAAATCCATATTTTTGTAACTTGTGCAGATTGTATGCCACTGTTCACTCAAAATGGAGGATCTGGAAGGTTTATTTATGAAGATAAATGCTGGCCAATGCAGGCGTCACGTATAAAACCAACACTGTTAGCTCGGCTCACAGGCGCTCTAGACTAACTTTTAAAAATGTGATGATAACTCAGCTGTTTCATCTCTTCTGATGAACTAAAATAGAAGCATTATTGTTGCAAGTTTTTCACTACAATATTAAAAAGCTGTATACTTATTTTCCATCATGTCTCCCATTCAATCGCCTGGTTATCAAAACTGATAACCAGAACCAAACAATAAAATGAGCTGCTGTTCATTGAAAACTGCAGAATGAAATGTTTCTACTGACTCACCGTTGCAGATGAAGTCCTTCTTCTGGACGTCGGGGACATTGAGGCCCCTCATGTGGGCCGGGGACATGCACTGCGTGAAGGGGGCCAGGCCCCGCCGGGCCCTCAGCCAATCAGAGAGCCAGGCCAGGTGGCAGTCGCAGTGGAGGCTGTTGGAGTGCAGACGGCTGTGAAGAAGACGAGGAAGAGGAGAGCGACCGTTAATCTGGACTGGACTAGTAATCTCAATCTCGAGAAATGGAAAAACTGGGAATGAAAACAGGAAATGATGTGGAAGAATATCAATTTTCTCTGGTTATTAACCAAACTTTACTTTCATTTATGCACAAAAATGACATAAAATTCAGGAAAATATGAAAAATTTCTTTGTTTTATAATTGAAGACTGAGCTGCTGTGTAAAATGTTATCTGAACCAGAAAACAGTTGAGATTTTAAAAAGATTTATTTTACTCTAAAAGCTCACACTAAGAATTCATAAACTCTAATCATGATGATAAATATCGCTGCAGACAGTGAGAAAACAACAAGTTACAGAAATGTTCCAAACTGTAAGTAATGTAAAATACAAAAGGCTACAGGTATTCGTATAATTAACCCGTTGCTGCAGAAAGCATCAGGTGCAGCACACAGATGAAGAGCAGCAGCAGGAGGAAGAGGAGGAAGAGCAGAATGTGTTGTCAGCGTTTTGTGAGCCAGCCGCTCGCCTGCCTTTGTAATAAAGCCGAGGACAAATCCTGTTAAGGAGTAAGACACTCACATTGAAGCTAGCAGCGGGCGGCAGATTTAATACTGCGCCCCATTATAAATCCAGGTTATAGTCACAGCCCCACCTGGAGATAGCCACGTCCGGCCCGCCCCCCCGCCGAGCCCTAATTACTGACAAGGAGGATTAAAACGACAAAGAACGGATTTGCTTCTGACTGCAGGACGCTTCAACGAGTCAGGATGTCGCAGGTCACACACACAGTTACAGTCACACACACACACACACACACACACACACACACACGCACACACGCGCACACACACACACGCACACACACACACACACTGCTGTTTGTTCCTCAAAGAGAAATCCAGGCAAAGCTCATAAATGAAACATGGTTTAGAAAAAAATAATTCTGAAATAGAAATCTGAAAAGTGTGGTGTGCACATGTATTCAGTGTGACGCCCCACAATAAAATACAGTAGATCAAACCAAGTTTTACAATCTGAAGAGTTACTCAGCTGTCAGGACAGTCGAATAAAACTCATTTAGAAAAAAAATGTGTGTATTGGTGTGTGTGTGTCGTACTCACAGCGTCCGGAGCTTGGGCATGTGATTGAAGCTGGACAGTGGGATGAGGGTGATGTTGTTGTTGTTGAGGGTGCTGCAGGACAGAAGAGACAGGATGGTGAATAATCACTTTATTTTTATTTTTCAGATGTTCAGTTTATTTAATTTAAATAAACAGAACAGGTCTCATTTTATTCAAACTCTTCATTTTGTTTAACTCCATCAGGTTCAGATTGTGATCCACCAATCAGCTCAGTGCAACTTCTTTCAACTTTATAATTCAATTCATAAAGAAAAATAAAAACAAGGACTTGACCAACTGTTGTACAATAAACCGCTAAAAAGAGGCAAACATATTAGAGAGACATACAATCAGTAAAGATGTTGTATGTAATAAACAAGAATTACTTTCATTTTCAGAGCTGCCATGTTAGATTAAACCAGCATGAACAATGGAGGACAGACTGGAAACTGAAACTGCTGCTGTACGAGGCAAAATGGAAAATACTGCAATAATATTTAGATTTAGATGTTTGGAGGTGTCAACATGTTTATCTCAGAAAGATTTCAGCCACAACTTCACCTCTTCAATGCAGCTTGAAGTGGTTTTTTTTACCAGAACTCATAGAAATCTGTATGTCATCTGCAAAATATCGTACTGAGGCAAGATTCAATCCAAAGGAAGCAAGAAAACCGTTTTAAAAGACCTAGCCCAGTGAAGCATCCCTGAGGAACACCAAGGCTTGTCACAGGCGGAGTTAGATTTCCCAGTTTTCCAGAGTTTTCAGATGGTGAGATGAAACTGGAGTAACTAGGAGCCAGAGCTGGTGAGGAGTTGAACCCACAACCTTCTGGTTGTCAGACAAAAACATCTGAAAATCTGAAATACATTTTCCTTTTTCTCCAAAGTTAGCAGGGCGTAGAGAACTGAAGGATCCAGTTTCACAGTTCTGCTGGAGAATCTCTGTTTAAAAAGTTCCTGATTTTCCGTCCCGTTTCAGCGTTTGGGTCCAAAAACATGAACATGAACTCATTTCATCTGTTGTCCTCCAGAAAGCGTTTCTGCTGTCAGCGGCTACAGCCGGGCGCGATCTGCAGCGTCTCAGTCGTCATATCGACCCGGACAGGAATGAACAACACCGCCGTCTGTCATTACCACATACGCAAGAGTACACACACACACACACACACACACACACACACACACACACACACACACACACACACACACACAGCGCTGTGTGTGCTGGAGAAACACTACCCTTATTGATTTCCTGTAGTTTTCATGCAAAGACATGGAGAAGATAATTCCCTCTGGGATGATACTGACAGACTGGAACAAGCTGCTAACATGCTAACACACTAACATGTCTCTTATAATGCAAACATGAAGAAATATAGAAACAAGACTAACATGTTAAATTAGAACAATTTAAATGAATCTGTTAATAAAATCTAGTTTCATGTTTTGCAGTTCAAAAATGGGAACATTAAAATGAAAAATTATTTATTGAACAATGTCAGATATTTTCCCTATATTTTAGTTTTACTCATAAAAAGAAGTGTTTCAATTTAGCTAAGACATGAGAGCAAAAATAATCAACAAAAGATAAAACCCTTTCTTTGCTGTCCACATGGTTTAATATCAAGTTTATTTCTGGATATTTTTATTCGTTTTGCTCCACCAGGTTTATGAAAACACTGGAAACATAAAACTAAATAAAAAAAAGACCCAGAGTAAAAGCCCAGAGTTTCTGTTGCAGCAGGCCAACAACAACAACAACAGCAACAAAACAACAACAGCAGCAACAACAACACAACAGCAGCAGCAACAACAACAGCAACAACAACAGCAGCAACAACAACACAACA